TGCGCTGTGCAGCCTGTCGCTCTCGGGCGTCGAGGCAGGCGGCGGCGGCGGCGGCGGCGAGCAGCTGCCGACCAAGTGCACCTGCGACGAGAAGCGAGAGCGCGAGCTGCTGCGCAAGCGGCTGCGCAAGGAGCGCGAGGTGGAGCGCGAGAGGGACCGCGAGTGGGAGCGGGATCAGGCGCGCGGCCGGCAGCGCCGGCTGTTTGGCGATAGCTTCGAGGGCGGCGAGGGGAGCTGCCTGTCGGCCCTCGACGGCTTCTGAGCAGGTGGTGGTGGTGGTGGCGGCGACGGCGGCAGTACCTCGCCCTCACTGGACCTTGTCAGATTCAGTGCCAGACTCGCATTGGACCTGGGGTCCGGACCATCCATCCCCTCGAAGCACGCATCGCACGACGCAGCGAAGAGGCGTGTCCCATGTCATCGATAGCATGCTACCCATCCAGCACCTTCTTCCCAACTACCTTCCTGCACTGCAGGTCAGCATCATCCACTCATTCATTCATTCATCAATCATCGTTCATCGTCTCTCCCTTCTTGGCACCCGTACCCGTACCCGTACCCGTACCGTACCGTCTCGTTTCGTCCTGTTTTCCGACTCGTTGACAACCCTCCCCTGTCGTTTTCGCTCTCTCGGTCTGGACGTACGCTACGCAAACAAAGATTGGTAAAAGCGGATCCAAGCTCGACGACGTGGCTCCTTGATCGGTCGGGATGCCATTCAAATGCGGGCGGGGGACCTTGGAATTCTGTCTGTGTCTGGTACAGAAGACAGGACATGGATATGGTATGGTATGGTATGGTGTGCGATGCGATGCGATGCGATCTCGGTGGAGGACCAGGAAGGGGGGCGGGTGTGACGCGACGCTCGTATCCCCCGCCCCCTGGCCTCGTCTTTGGTCTAGCGCAGGGGTGAGGCGGGGGCCAAGGTGGGACCTACCGACCGGTCGGTCGGTATTCTGCAGCGAATGAGGTGATGGTACGAGAAGAGAGGGTACATCGGTGGCAGCTCGAGCGTAGGCTTGGAGGTCGTTGTGCCCATCTTGACCGGAAGGAAGGTAGCACGGTGGCTGGCCCCCATCAAGCAGGGCCAAACAAGGGGCGCGGGGTGCGCCCGCTGGCCTGGTCTAGCTGGTCTGGCGTGCATCCCGAATCACCTTGCCTGCCTCGCCTTGCGTCGCTTCCTTGCCTCGAGCTCGCACCACCAGCAGCAGCAGCAGCAGCAGCAGCAGCAGGAGGAGGAGGTAGGGATGGTGGGCTTAGATCTCGACCGGGCCCGTGCAGCAGCAGCAGCAGCAGCAGCAGCAGCGACAACGATGACCGGGCCGCGCTCAATGGACGAGCGTCGCCGTCGCCGATGCCGAACAAAGGGGAGGCTAGGCCTGGCAAGCGGGTCGCAGCTCTCACAACCCTGCCTAGGCAGGCTACGTGGGCGCTCCGGCCTTGGCTTGGTCCTCGGCGTTGTGCACGCAGCTCGCTCCCGATGAGGCAGGCCCGCCCGTCCGCCTGCCTCGCGGTTCTTGCAGTCGGTACGGTAGGTACGCCACACTACTCTCACACCAGGAGATCACGCTCCCCCCTCTTCTGACTGGGTCCAGGTCTAGGCTAGGCTGGATGGCCCATGGCAGCCTGACTACCCTGTACCTCGTACGTAGCAGGCCTGCCACAGGCCAGGCCTGCTTGCCTACAGCTGGTAGGCCTGCTCGAGCTGCTTCATCGCCGACCGCCGGCCTCTGCCTGCCTCTGCCTACCGCCTGCTGCTGCTGGCCTCTTGTCTGCCTGCATCGCTCACGCCCCCAGGCTAGGAGAAAGGGAGACAGACAGCATAGGGGAATGGCCGTCGTGCGGTATCGATTTGGGCGCGGCCAGGCCTGCGGGGCGAGGCGGTCCGCGGTCGCCTCGACTCGACTCGAACCGGCACCGAGCCCGCGCGGCCTGGCCCCCCACCGTGCGTCTGTAACCCGCCCTCTTTCTGGCTCGCATCCCCCTCCAGGCTCACTCTTGCACACACGCTCGCTCTCGAACATCGCCGTTTGATGTGGCCGTCGTCAGACAGGCACACACAGAAGAGACGGGCTCGAGCCGGGCGAGTCGTCTTTGTTTCTGCTGAAGCCGCAACCCAGGGCTCAGAGAGAGAGCGGGCGAGCCAACTTGGCAAAGAGCAGAGGGCCAAGGCGTGCGTGCAGATGCCCGACTCCAGCGCTGGGCGCAGCGAGGGAGCGAGCAGAACGCTTCCATTCAATCTTCGAATCTGCTGGTCGGCCTGCTGGCCTACCTGCCTGCCTGCCTGCGTCGAGCTCTCGCCCTGCCACGTACGGCGCAGGCCAGGCCGAAGACGAGCAAGCAGCAGCAAGGGCAGGCCAGGCCAGGCCAGGCCAGGCCAGGCCGGTCCCGCCGCCGAGTGCGAGCGAGCGAGGCGCAAGGGCCACCAAAGGGTGCCAGGGTGCGCCCGAGTCCAACACCTGACTTTTTTTTTCGCCTTTCCGCCTTTGGCCCAGGGCCAGGGCCAGGGCCAGGGCCAGGGCCAGGGCGAGAGGGCGTGGCGGGCCCAGGCAGACCAGGCGAGGGCGCTGGGCCCCCGCTTTGGCCGCTGGCTCGCTCGCGCGGCTGCCCTCTCTCTGCCTCGAGGCTAGTGGGCCACCCACCCCTGTCTGGGCCGCCCGCCGCCCGCCGACGCCCCCGACGCCCAAGCAAGCAGAGTCGAGCGAGAGAGTTGGCCTGCCTGGCCTGGCCTGCTTGCGCCAGCCATCCTTCGCTCTGGCCGCCCAGCCGACGGCACGCTTGGCTTGGGCCTGGCCTGGCCTGGCCCTGCCTGCCCTGCCTGCGTTGCCTGCGTTGCCCGCGGTGCCTTGCCTTGCGTTGCGTTGCCCTGCCCTGCCCTGCCCTTCCCCGGCCCTGGGCTGGTCTGGCCTGGCCTGGCCCTCCTGGCTGGCCTGTTCTTTCCCTTGACCCGGTGTGCCTCCCCTTTCAGCCTCACCATCATCCAACCTCGCCCTCCTTCGCCTTCTCTCCCTCTCGCTCCCGCTCTCGCTCCAGCTCCTCCCGTCGTCCCACTCTCCCCTGGCCTCTTGCTCTCATCTCCCTGGCCACACTTTCCAACTCGCCTCTTCCGCTCTCGTCCCCACCTCTGCATTTCCTCGACCTCCCCGCGCGGCCTCGTCTAGCACCCCTCGCCCACAGACTGACCGAGGCGTAGCCAGACGCTTGGCCACCACCGCTCCATCGGTCTCACCCGCCACACGCCACTACTACTCCCCTCCTCCTCTCCCCCTCAATCTGGCCAAACAGACCCCGGAGATAGACACCGCCGCCTGACGCTGCTGCCATCCTCTTGCGCTCGCACCTCCGTCCACCCGCCTTCCGCCCGGCCACGCCCGCCAACCTACTAGACGCCTTTTCGGCACCCCCTCCAACACCGGTCAGCTGGCGGACCATTGCATAGAGCGACGCTCTCGGCTCACTCGCTCCTCTTCCGTCCCGTCGCAACCACTCGCTTTCCCCCCGCTGCTCCTCGATACCCTACTCTTGTCCATTCGCACCTTCGCCACCTCGCACTCTCGCCCGTCCCGCTCGCAAGCAGGCACGCACGCTCCGTCTTAATCTCAGCCCTAGCTGGTCATCCGATCGATACCCGTGCCCTTCTCTTCCCCCCTTCGGCCTCACCGCCACCTCGACTGCCGCCTACATACCGCCTCATCCAGCACTGCTCGCCTGAGCATCCTGGCCCGTGGCTTCCTCTGCGGCCTTCGCCTACTTTCGCCCCCAAGCTGCGCGGCACACACAGCTTGAGCTCGAGCGAAGGACCAGCCCAAGTGCTGCTGCGTCGCCTTACCCGCACACCCTCTTCATTCAAGCCGGCGCTCGCTTGAGTACCTCCATCGCATGGCAGTGCTCGACGTTTCGGCTCGCTCGGTCCCTTTGTCTTAGAGAAAGACAGGAGAGGCATCAGCTAGCCCGTACCGCAGGCTTTGCTCTCATCCCGCTTTCAGGCGTCCCCACACCCCGCCACCTCGACGTCAGCGTCCCCCTCGCGTCGATATGCCGGCCGCCACCAACACGCTGCAGGCATCGCCCACGGGCGGCGTCCACAAAAAGTTTGGCACCTTTGCCGGCCTGGGCCAGATGTCGACCAACAAGAGCGCGACCAGCTCGGCCGCCTCGGGAGGCACCGTCGGCACCCGGCCCAGCGTCAAGGGCCTGTTTGAGGCGAGCGGCAACGACGCCGGCGCCGGCGCCAGCTCACGCGCTGCGCTCTCCGCCGAGGCTGGCGGCGCAAACGGCTCCGCCGCCCGCAGCGCCAGCGACGGGCCGTGGAGCATCAGCGTGGCCGAGGTGCCGGACAAGCGCGAGGGCCGCAAGCGCAAGCACCAGCAGACGGCCTACACCCTCTACATCACCACACCCACCCACAACATCACCCTGACGCGCTCCGGCGCCGAGATCGTCGAGCTCGACCAGCGGATCCGCGAGAACCAGTCGGTGAGCACCTCGCTGCCGAGCCTCCCTTCGCTGCCGTCGGCGGCTCCCCAGACGAGCGGGCGCAGGATCCTCAAGACCATCTCTCGGACGCTGTCGCCGAGCGGCAGCCGCAACCGCGCCGCCCTCGAGGGCCTGCGGCTCGAGCCGACGACGCCGACGTCGCTGACCGCCGAGGCGCGCCGCCTCGCTTCGCCGCCTCCCTCGGCCCCGCTCTCGCCGGCCATGGACGAGAAGGCGGCCGTCTCGGCGCACCACTCGACCACGACCCAGCTGGCCACCTACTTTACGACCATCTCCAACCTCCCCTTCATCCGGAGGCACAAGGCGTGGGTCAAGTTCACGCGCGTCGGGTCCGACGACTTGCAGAGCGTCCGCGTCGAGCGCCGGGTCCGCAAGGTGCGCAGCGACCTGGCCCAGCACGTCAAGTCGTCGGTCGCCCCGACCAACACCAACGTCGGCGTTGGCCCCAGCGACTCGGACCTCGGCGAGGACGACGGCGGCCGCACCGACGACGAGCGCGAGGGCCCGCCTGCAAAGGAGCAGAGGCTGGGCAGCGCCTCGCCCAGGCCACCGCACAGCGGCAGCGCCATGTCGCTGGTGCCGGAGCGCAGGAGCAGCGTCGCCGGCTCCATGACGCGCCCCGACGTGCCCGTCCGCTCGAGCTCCGTCGACAAGGGCTCCAACATCGGCGACGCCAGCATGTCGCCCAACGCCGCGAGCCAGGACACGGAGCGGCAGAGGAGCCACGCCGGCATACCCGAGGAGCAGCGCATGGACGAGTCGGGCGACGACGCCGAGGCGTCCGCTCCCCGGCGCCGATCCACGCGCCGGGGCCAGCGCAGGACGCGCGAGAGCGAAAAGGTGACGGTCGACGACTTTGAGATGATCCGTGTCCTCGGCAAGGGTTGCGCCGGCAAGGTGAGTTGCGCGCGTGCCCTAGGCTCCGCCAGACACGCCTTCCACCTGCACCGGGCTCTGCGGTGATCGGGCCGCCTCGCTCAACCCGCTCCTTCTATGTCCCCCTCTACCTCTTCCTCTCCCCGTCTCTCGACCCCCTGCCGCCACAGGTGCTCCTCGTGCGGCACAACGAGTCGCGCGGGCTGTTCGCGATGAAGTCAATCTACAAGCGCCACGTGCTAGCCCACCAGGAGCTGCAGCACACGCTGACCGAGCAGTCGGTGCTCAAGCGGATGGTCAAGGAGGTCATGGACCCGTTTGTCGTGCGCCTCTGGTGGTCGTTCCACGACCGCAACAACCTCTACCTGGTGATGGACTTCCACCCGGGCGGCGACCTGGCGACGCAGCTGTCGCGCTGGGGCCGCCTGGGCCGCGACCGCGCACGCTTCTACGCCGCCGAGATTGTCGAAGGCGTCGAGGGCCTGCACAAGGCCGGCGTCATCTACCGCGACCTCAAGCCCGAGAACGTGCTCATCGGCGCCGACGGGCACATTGTGCTGTCCGACTTTGGCCTGTCGAAGGAGTTTTCGGGCCACGCGCCCGTCGCCAACGGATCTTCGACGCCGCCGCCGGGCTCGCCGGGGCGCTCCAAGTCGAGCAACAACGTGCGCTCGGCCCACTGGCTCTCGGCCTCGGACGACACGTCGGTGTCGAGCCCGTCGACCAGCCGCTTCCTAGACAAGCGCGAGACGACGTCGACGTTTTGCGGCACGGCCGAGTACCTGGCGCCCGAGGTCATCCAGGGCCTGCCCTACTCGTACGAGGTCGACTGGTGGTCCTTTGGCACGATGCTCTACGAGATGCTCACCGGCATAACGCCCTTCTGGGCCGACACCCACGCCGACATGTACGTGCGCGTGCTGCAGGACGAGCTCGTCTTCCCCGAGGACCGCGTCCTCGACCAGGACACCAAGAGCATCATCCGCGGCCTGCTGCAGCGCAACCCGATGCTGCGGATGAAGGAGCCGCGCATCAAGAAACACCCCTACTTTTCCATGATCGAGTGGGACCACATCTTCCACAAGCGCTACATCCCGCCCTACATCCCGCCCATCGACCCGCAGAACGAGGTCGACACGCAAAACTTTGACGAGACGTTCCTCGAGATGCAGCCCACGGTGGCACACGCAGCAGAGGAGGACGAGGAGGCCGAGGCGGCGGCGGCGGCGGCAGCGGGCGTGGCCAGCAACGGCGACAACACCGCGGCCGACCAGAGCAAGGACTCGGCCAACAATGCGTTGGCGGCGGCGGGCGCGGCAGCCGTCGACCAGAGCCACCTCTTTGACGGCTACTCATTCCGGGGCCGTCGGGATTCCGAGTCGATCCGGTCCTCGATCATGTCGATCGAGCAGGATGAGCCGTCGGCCGTCGAGGACGCCGTCGTCGAGAGCAGCAGCGCCGCCACTCCCGTCGCCGACACGACGCGGTCCGACACGACCACGGCCATGGACGAGGACGAGGACGAGGAGTCGGCCGCGCGGGCCGCCGTGGCCGCGCTGGCGAGGCTCGAGAGCGAGGCCGACGCCGAAGCGCAGCACCTCGCCCACGGGTCCACGACGCTCTCGGAGTCGACGCAGCCCGGCTCGGTGGGTCCGAGTCGCGAGGCGACGTCCAACGGCACCTCGGACAGCGACCACTCGCACGCCAGCAACCTCTACAGCTCGCCGGCCAGCAGCTACACGAGCAAGCCGGGCACCAAGGCGGTGCTATCGGCGGGCGGGCAGCCCACCAACGCGGCCATCCGCGAGCACGACGACGAGGACGACGACTGGGACATGATCGACGTCGGTGGCCCCGACGGCGCGCTCAAGTCCGAGATGAACGGCGGCAAGGGGGCCAACCTGTTTGCGCGCGGCGTGGTCGACACGTACCGGCTGCTGCGGCGGCAGGAGTCGTCGCGCCTGCCGAGCTCGACGAGCTACGGCTCGACGTCGAGCCGGCCGTTTAACCGCCTGGGCAAGCGGCGCACCATGGTCGGGGCGGGCTCGATGAGGAACAAGCCGTCGACGGGCAACCTGACGTCGGCCAGCGCGCAGAGCCTCGACCCGCGGCCGAGCGAGCGCAGCGGCGCCGAGGACACGTCGGGCGACCAGTCGCTCCTCTCGCCGCAGCTCGAGTCGGGCGGCAGCCGGCTGGGCGACGCCAACGGCCCGTCGAGCCCCGAAAATGGCCGCCGCAAGGTCGTCTCGCCGAGCCTCTCTGGTTCCGAGGAGAACAAGTACCAGACGCGCATGAAGAAGATCAAGCGCTTCACCACGTTCTTTGAGCCGGCCAGCTACCGGTCATAGCCCGCGGCGGCCTGCCTGGCTCGCTCGGCCCAGCTCCAGGAGGCTTACCAGATGGGACCGACGCGTGGCCGGCCGTGTCCCC